AAAACAAGTATTCCCTCCTTTTTGTTCTCACGTCTCTATTGGACATTGTGAATCAGGCTTATTATGTAGCATTACAGAATTATTTGTTCCCAGTCTGTCACTGTTGCTAGTTTGTCACTTCTCTCACTCTATTGTCCTCAGCAGCTAGTCTCATACCCGATACTTGTCTCCTGATATCTAACCTCACCTTCTTGGTCAGTAAAATAACCTTGACTTCTAGTTGAATCTATGGCTATTTTGAATAAAGACCAAGTATTTCACATTCCCTGGAGGCTACCTGGGGCCATGTGACATCAGGCCTGGAGCTATAATGTTCTTGGCGACTATGAGATGACTTTGTGATTAGGAGCTGGATGTGGTGCATGAAAATATGAGAGTCCCTGGCATGTATTTAATAACTTAAATACAAGTCTACATTTTTCTATCTTAGGAGCTTTAGGTAGAAGAAAGAAAAAACTCTGATGTTTGAGACACTATTTGGGTTTTTTTTTCTGTCATTTGTAGGCAAACAATTCTGATAGAAAAATATGTGTATGTACGTATTTATTTTTGTGATACTGGGGATTGAACCCAGGGGCGCTCTACCACTGAGATAACCCTGCCAGCCCTTTTTAAATTTTTTGAGACAGGATCTCTCTAAGTTGCCCAGGTTGGCCTTGAACTTATGATCCTTCGGCCTCAACCTCCGCAGTTGCTAAGATTACAGGTGTGCACCACTGTGCCCGGCTGTATATGTGTTTTTGAAAAATTGATTTGGTAGAATCACAATCTAATGCATGTTGAACCCTAATGCATGTTGAAACTGTTGGCCCCTGGGCTTCATGAAGTTCTGAGATAAACGATGTCACACGGTATTTTTAAAATATGTGAATACTAAAAGCAGCTGTGCCTCACACATGGTCTCATAGCTGATTAGCTGTGCTCAGGACATTTCCTAACCCCCATTGCCTTTGTGTCTGTAGCCCTTCACCTAGAGGCAACTTTGCTTGGGTGACAAGAGATGGATTATGCAGTAGCTACTTGCCATGTATTTTTCTGGGGGCATTGGCTCTCCTGATAGCTCCCTGCTTCAAAGGATCATTCATAAAGGGAGGAAAAGGTCAGGATAAAAACATGGCACTCGGCCTCTACAAACAGAGCTCAGTCCCTAAGGAGGAGTTGCCTCTCTGTGGTGGGATCTGGCATCAACCGTGTGTATGCTATTGCTAGCGAGAGTTGGGCCACCCAGGCACGGGGGCGGGGTGACTCATGGCTTGGCGTTCTCTCTGTGGGCAAAAAGGCAGAGCTCTTTCCTCTCACCCTGGACACCTCCTCAGACCCAGACCTGCAAGCAGGTGTTGTCCTGGATAAATGGGTCAACAATTGGGGTCTGAGGAGTTATTTACTAGGAAAAATTTCACTGTTTTGGCATTTGAGATCTTGTACAAATCAGAAGGAAAATATCTATGGAGTTTTTGTAGGTGTTACCCAAATATGTTCTGCAAAAAATCAGCTCAGGGATATTATCACAAAGACAATCTAGGTTGGCTCACGAGGCCTTGCCTTCACCTGGGACATCAGGAGGAGGGCTCAGGAGCACAGTTCAGGTCCTGGTCAAATCCTTGCTTTCCGTGGACTAGCTGGTGTCTGTGTACAGTTCTAGTGTGTGCTGGGGCTGGTTCATCTCTGCGGGAGTCCTGGGTGTTTATCATGCCCTCCCGAGTCTGTGTTCCCCCATGTCATGTTGCTGAGGTGGGAGGGTGGGAGACTTTTTTTTGGGGGGGGGTACCAGGAATTGAACCCAGGGGTGATTTCCCACTGAACCACAATCCCAGCCCTTCTTTTTATTTTTATTATTATTTTTTTAAATTTTGAAACAGGGTCTAAGTTGCTTTGAGCCTTGCTAAGTTACTGAGGCTAGCCTCAAATTTGGGATCCTCCTGCCTTAGCCTCTCAAGCTTCTGGGATTACAGGTGTGCACCTGCTGTGCCTGGCTGTTTTGGGAGTCTTTAGACCACGGGAATAGGCAAATCAGTGCTCCCCTTGATCTTAATGTTGGTACATATTTACATATTACATACATATTTACATAATTACGTTTCCTAATTTGTGCAATGGGCAGATAGTACTTTCCTGACTCAGAGAATGAATGGAGAGGACTGGTGAGAAGCACAGGTAATAGCCCTTCATACATTAGCTTTCTAGTTCTTTTAATCATATGATATTAGTGATATTGTTGAGACTACTATTTGGGGGAGGTGGAAACTGATTTCCCTCACTCTCACGTTGGTTTCCAAGAGCCATTGAACCTCCTATAACCTCTCTTGCCCTGGGGTATGTTTGCGTGCTGTGCCAGACTGTCAACTTACCATGAAATGTAAGTTATATAACTAGGTGGCCTGACCTAGAGGACAGATTCCTGTTGGCACTAGCACAATTCTGACAGTGAGGGCCTCTTTGAAGGTTCCCTGAGTGCCTTGCTTGCACCATCCTGATCCTGGGCCTGCTCCATTCTGACAGTCTGCTGGCCCTAGGACCGCACTTTGAGTAGCAAGTCCTCAAGCTGCAGTTTGTGTGGGTTTCCCGCTTGACACGTGACCCTCAACAGCAATGAGGATGTTTCTAGGTTGAAGTTGGATGTACGTAACGCCTGGAAAAGAAGCATCGATTCTGCAAACTTTTTTATTTTAGATAACACAGGGTCATTTGTGCCAGCCTGGCTGCCAATCTCAGTTCTTTAGGGACATTTCAGACAGTTCAGTGGTAGCTCAGAGATCCAGGGCCCTTTCGTAGGCACCTGAACAGACCTCTGTCTCCAGTCAGTCCTTCCCTGTTCCCAGAATAACTCATCATTATAATGTGGCACTTCCTGGAAGAGTGTCCTTGCTCTCTTCATGGTGGCACAGTGGGGTTTCTTTTGCCAGCCAGGTGCTGGGCCCCAACCAGGTCCTGGGCTGCCAACGCATCACATCATTGAACCTCATTTGCTTCCCTGTTGCAGGCTTTGTTTAGGGCCACCAAGACCGTTTATGATGGCATCACTCTTGAATCAGAGGACACAGGCTTGGGGTTTGAACCCTCCCCTCCCCAGAGGCCTCTCTGCTCTCCTCACAGAGGGCTCCACCTCCTCCCTGGGGCCCAGTTCTGCATGCCAGGGACCTCTGGGTGCAGCCAAAGACCTCACCTCCTAACTTCCAGGGGTGAGAAAGAGAAACAGTATCTGCTGTGTTCCCACAGTGTCCCTCAGTGGGATGGCTGAGGAGTGGCTACAGGACTCTCCCTTGATACCAGCTGAAGGAGCTGTGGCATGCAGGGGAATTCTGAGTCTTTCCAAGGTCACCCAGTGAGTCAGAGGAACAGGCAAATCTGTTTAGTTAGAAGAGTCTCTGTATTCTTTCCCACATTTGTTAATCCGGAGCATGAGTGAGTGTACAGAGAGACCTTTGTTTCCCATTCTGTTCATGTGTTTGTCTGTCCCTCCCTCCGGCCCTTCCTTCCTCTCTTTGTCTATACAGCCCCTTCTTAGCTAACTAAGTGCCTTCCTCCATCTTCTGTTATAACAATTTACCTGAGACAGGGTAATCTAAAAAGAAAAGAGGTAAAAAAGAGAGGTTAAAAGAAAAGAGGCTAAAATTTTTGAAGTCCAAGAATATGGTGCCAATATTTACCAGGCCTTTGGTGAAGACCTTGTGCTGTTTCATGCATGGCAGGAAAACCAAGGGCAAGTGCGTACATGCAAAGAGAGGAGCGGACAAAAGGGGGATCTCGTGCTAACAACCCACTCTCATAATAACTAACTCTTTTTTAAAAAAAAATTTATTTATTTTTTTAGTCATACATGACAGTAGAATACATTTTGATTTATAATACATACATGGAATGTACATACATCAATCATATTGTCTATTCTATTCTGTTGCCCTTCCTATCCAATAACTAACTCTTATAGGAACTGCATTAATTCTTCCATGAAGGCAGAGTCCCCATGACCTAAACACCTTTTAAAGGCCATACGTGCCTCACTTCCACTATTTTGGCCAACAAATTTTTATTTTTCATTTTTTGGTACTGGAGATTGAACCCAGGGGTGCTTAACCACTGAGCCACATCCCCAGCCCTTTTTACTTTTTATTTTGAGATGGGGTCTCACTAAGTTCCTTAGGACTTCGCTAAGATTCCAAGGCTGGCTTTGAACTTCCAATCCTCCTGCCTCAGCCTCCCGAGCTGGGATTGCAGGTGTGCGTGACCAATAAATCTTGACATGAATTTTGGTGGGGACAAACCTACATATCCAAACCACTGCACTGAGTTTCAATTCAACATTCCAAGTTTGGGCCAACGTCAGGACATTCCTGAAAGTATTTTGGGGGCCTCCAAATTGGGTTCCCTGGAACTCTGGGCTCAGTTTTGGCATAATTGTGAGGGTTCTATCCTTCAGTTAGCAAGAAAGTATTCTCACAAATGAAGTCTGAGAACTTCCCATCTCAGGGACAGCAAGACCAGCACGAGCATTTGTGAGAACAGAGAACTGGAGCCATGATTTCCCTCCCCCCACAATCCTCACCCCATCCCCCACCCCCCATTTTTTTTTTTTTTTTGGTACCAGAGATTGAACTCAGGGCACTTGACCACTGAGCCACATCGCCAGCCCTATTTTGTGTTTTATTTAGAGACAGGGTCTCACTGAGTGGCATGGTGCCTCGCTTTTGCTGAAGCTGGCTTTGAAGTCACGATCCTCCTGTCTCAGCCTCCCGAGCTGCTGGGATTACAGGCGTGCGCCACCACACCCAGCCCCCCTTCCCCTTCACATGGCACTCAATATTTCCACATGGCTTCAGTCAAATCCAAAGAGGGAGAGAAACCCTAACACAAGTGAGAGCCCAGCGCTGACCTCAGATATTCCATCTATGGTTCCAGCCACTTGGAGACAGGCATCAATAGGGGGAAGAGGGACAAAATAGCAAAGAAGGATGCTTCCCCATCTCTCTGCCCACCGAGAGATTCTGGGGTGACAGCGGGAGGGGAGGAGTCAGAAAAGTCACATTTATGTGGGAAAACAATGAAAATGAATACAGAAATATCAAATATAAAAGTGAAAAGGAAATCTTTCTAGTGAATTAAAAACAATTTTTACATAATTTCAGAAAACACAATGCTTTGACCTCTAGTGCCGCTGATTTAAAGATGACTTTTCCAATGAAAAGACTCTTCCTTTCTTTACTTTTTGGGCCTTGGGACTGAACATGAAACTTGCCCAGAATCAAAAAAACATAAAGTACTCTCTCCGTACCCCATTTTTCTGCCTATCAGACCTTTCTGGTCTGCCTCCACCTCCCCCAATTAACCGTGGCCAGCTGTTTTCCCTTGTACCCTGGCTTTTTTCCACCACTGTGACCCTGAGGTGGGAACACTGAGCCCCTGAACTGGGGATGGAGTGATAGGAAGGGAGTGTTTCAAGGCTGAGCAGGGCTGAAGGCAGAAGGGGAGGGTTTGCTGGGATAAGACACAATCTGGCTTTGGATCCTGGTTCCATTGTTCATTGGCTGAGTGACCCTGGGCAAGCTTTGTCACTTTCTGAGACTGGATTCTCCTTTGTAAATGAGAAAACTGAGCTGGGCCAATGTGAGAACTGCACAAAGAGGTGCAGACTATTTACCCATTAGCAAACCTCCTATTACTAAGAGGAAGAAGTACCCTCAATATTCCACAGCAGAATTGGAGACCTTTGGCTCTTCCTTTCTCCTCCTGGGTATTTATTTTTTTTTGCTTTCTGGAGGTTATTTATTTATTTTTAAAGAGGCAGACCTAGAGAGGGACAGAGAGACAAGAGAGCCCATGGTAAGGCAGGAGAAAAAACAGGAAATCTGGTGACGGAGTCAGGGAGAAAAGAATGGAGGGCAGCAGTTACACAGCGGGTTTCAAATTAACTTTTGAGGACCCATGTGATTGTCTGCCCCCTACGCGCCCCCCCCCCCCACGCCCGGAGAATGAGCTGGAATCAGGATGGTGAGGAGAGGCGCAGGTTGGCTCTGAAAGTTGCATTCCTCTTTTATAACAGAGAAAACATTCGCCTTCTAAGAGACACTTAACTAGATTGGACATAACTGGACTGTATTCAAATCAATGCAAACATTTACTTTAAAAAGTCATATAAAATAATAAAAAATAACCCGCATTTAGGATAGTATCACAGAAATGGTATTGAAAGACACACATTAAATGTTGTTCATGGAAAGTCAGATGACTTTTTTTTTTTTTTGGTACTGGGGATTGAACTGAGGGGCACTCGACCACTGAGCCACATCCCCAGCCCTATTTTGTATTTTATTTAGAGACAGGTTCTCACTGAGTTGCTTAGGGCCTTGCAGTTGCTGAGACTGGCTTTGAATTTGCGATTCTCTTGTCTCAGTCTCCCAAGCCACTGGGATTATAGGCCTGTGCCACTGCACCCGGCATCAGATGACCTTTTAGACCCAATATTAAAAACAAAACAATAAAATCAGTCCTTAGTTTGCTCATTGGAACAACATCATTTAAGTGTTTCTTGTTATACTTGTCTGTTCCTTTGGAATGCTGCTGTGTAATACAGAAGAAATGCGTCCCTCCAAACTGTAACAGAAATTGTGTCAAACCCAGTCAATTCCTTTGAGTGTTTTCATGGTGAGAACAGCAACTGTGGTATGCTAGGGAAGAAGATTGTCCTGAAGGTTTGGTAATGTGGCCGAGCTTTCCTTGACAGCAAACAGGTAAAGGGAAATCAAGGAACAGTATTTTAATGTAAATTCCACCCTAATCTCAGACCTGTCTCACTTCTGAAACAGCAGAGCCAGGACTCGAAAGGGCAGACATCAAGTTCAACACAGGACACCTTGCACTCATTTCTACATAAAGCATTCCAAAGTAAGTCATTAATCGTGGTCACAGAGCACTTCTGGGTTTTAAGCTAGTCCTCAGATATTCAGCAGGTGCCTGGGAGGTTTTATGTGCCTACACCTCCAGGGAGAGGCCAACAGGAATTTCAGGAAGGCAGCTTCTGGCTCAGGGCCACGGTGTCCCTCGCCAAGGCCATCTCTGTGTGGCTCCCAGAATTGCTGAGCTCTTCCTTCTCAGATGACTTTGTTGGAAAATACAGCAACAGCTGAAGCTCGTGGGCATCTGGGCTCTGGCCAAGACCCCTGAGGGTGCATCCCAAAAGAAGAGCAAGATGGAACCTGAGCAGTTGTCTTATTCTTCCAACTCACATTCTTTGTGTAGTGGGAGAACATTTTATAAAAACAGAATAAAACAGTAACTGATATTTCCCTTTACCTGTGGTCTTGTTTTTCACTTTCTCAGAATCCACCCACCCTTAATAAACCAAAACAGAAGATACAAATTCAGGCAGGCAGCTATTAATTGGCTCATGGTCAAGTCTCAAGGCAGGGATGTCACACTACAAAGCAGAGAGAGAAAAAAGGGAGTCTATTGTAGGCTTGTGATTGACCAAATAAAAGGCCAGAAATCCTATAAACATAGACACAAAATCCAGGAGCTCGCTGAGGAACGGGAAGAACAGCCCTTCCCTTCCGTCCAGTCCAGCCAACAGCTCCGAGGCTCACCATTCATCCACACCTTGAACTTGGTGGTCTTTGAGAACAAGTTTGTCCTTCTCTTTCTGACCATCTGGGATGAAGTCCCATTGGGATCTCGCTGTCAGGACATGGTTTTTATGAACAGAACTTATGGTTCTTCCTAAGCCTAATCCACAGTAAAAGGAGCTGCGACATCAATCTCCTTCTGTCATTCATGTCTTCAAGAAGGACTTTAATGTATCTAAGGGACCTCTAGGAATGAAATGGGATTTTTGACCAAGGATTAATATCAGATGGGTCAGTGGTTACTTTGACAGATGTCACTGTAGATGTATGACACTGAGGGCTATTGCGCTGAGCCCCACTTGTCAACCAGTACCACTAGGTAATTCTGCCCCTCCTCCCTTGACTTTTTGACCTCCAAGGAAAATGTGTGTGTGTGTGTGTGTGTGTGTGTGTGTGTTTTCCCTAGCCCATTTTGACAAGATGCCAGTTAAAATTAATTTCATTAAGGAAAGACCTATTTCCTTTCATACCTGAGTCTATGGAATAGGAATCATATTACACATGATTTTTACCCTTTTTGCTGACTTAGCAAAGAGGCAGATAAACATAAGACCAACGTGGAGTTATCACATGGCATGTGTGTAAGTCACAGAACCATAGCCACATGCTGGCTGGGCCTCAGAGCAGTCTAAGAGTAGCACCCTGTCCCTCACCCACCCATGAAATAGGAAAGGCCCTTCTACAGCTGGTAGCAGAGGGTACCATAAGGAAAGAGACATGCTGGCAGCATGTTGAAATTGAGGTGAGGATCTGGGTGTTTGACGGTGAAGGTATGTTGTCTGTTAGCCTAGAATCTACACTCTGGACAAGCCACAGATCCCACTGGTGCAGGAAGGACCCGACCTGTCTGTGTAGGCCCAGCAGGGTCTGCTTCACTTCAGTCCTGACCACCTGTCAACTTGTGAAAGAGGTCTTCATCGAGCGTTTCATTCTGGTCCTTGGAGCGAGTGGACAAGAAAATGTAGCCACCGATGTACTCATGCACAATCTTGCAATCCGCACTCAGGCACGTAAATGCAACTTGGAAGTTTTGGTCAAACTCAATCATCACCTGGAAGAGGGAGGCGTGGAGAAACTTAAATTCTGACAAAGCTGGGTGAGAAAGAAGCTGCTTTACTGAGTTGGGCCCTGGAGTGGAGGACCACTGAGGTGGATACTGAAGTGACTGACAGATGCGTGTTCCTCTAAAAGAGCACAGAAAACCACCGCTTCCACTTAACACTGACATGTCTTTGCTCTGTGCGCCCCCTTGTGGTGTCAACTGATTTACACGGGGTTAAACATCTCCCAGCACATGCGTATTTTCCCTCTTAGGCATCTGCACATTTAGATATAAGAACTTCCCAAGCACTCTTGTGTAGAGGGCAGGATGTTTTGCAGACTCTTCAGTGGAAAACAGAAGGCCTGCTTGAATCTCCTATAGCTACTGCCCCCCTAGCTCTTCCCAGCTGAAAGTCATAAACTTCAAGCACTAGAAGACTTGGAGACTTCACTGGTTTTTATTCCCACAGACTTCCCACTGGAATCATGCATGGAACTTTCAAAATGGTGATTCCCAGCCCCATTCCCAGAAAGACGGATTTAATTGGTTTTGGGTGGTCTGGAGACTGGTATTCTAACACCCTTCCTCTCCACAAGGAGATCTTAAGTGCATTGAAGATTTTAGAGGTCTCCTTATCTTGGGCTTCCTTCTACACGTGCATGCCCAGGTGGTTGCTAGTACTGCTGAGAATAATCTAGAGGTCTTAATAAAAAAATGGGTATTTTATTATTTCTCTATAATGATGATTTTCTGCTGGACAAGTGACAATACTGAAGGAAAGAGGGAGACAGATACTATGTTAGCAACATCATATGGTTCCACATCAGCAGGACACTAAGGTGCCTGTAATTTCATCTAGAATTTTTCCATGATGTAGGCTTGGTCTAAAGGTGGTTTCTGGGATGGGAGTTGATGAGAAGTTATAATTCAGGCAGAGGGTGTGAGGGCCCATTGCGGAGGCGAATATTTTCTCAGTCATTCTGTATCTCTTTTGCTCCTCTAGTGGGTTTTTCCCCTCTGGGTCTTCTATGCTCTCAGAGATGGCGACTAAGTGTATGGATCCAAATCCAGTTAGATCTCTTGGCAACCAGTGACACAAGGCCTTCTTTGGATTTATTTTGCATCGTATTTCTGTCTCATGTAGCTTCTGCTAGGTAATGATTAGCCTAAATCTTATATAACCCTTATGCTGAGTCCATGGAAATTAACCCAACTGCTCTGCAGTTTTAGACCTATCTGTTGGAAGTCTGCACAGACCCTAAACCATCTTGCAGTGTAATTCAAGAACCTGTGGCCTGTACTTGCTGGGAAACTGCCAAGAATTGCATGTGGTTATTTTATTTTATTTTTTTTTGTGGTGCTGGGGATTGAACCCAGGGCCTTGTGCACGCAAGGCAAGCACTCTACCAACTGAGTTATATCCCTAGCCCATGTGTGGTTATTTTAACAGACAATTACCACATACCTGTGATTTCTTGGTACTAAATATAAGAACACCTTTTAAAAATCTGAATAATTTGCAATTCTGAGGGAACACACATTTACACTGAACACCGGAACTTTACTGTACCTGCCGGATTTCCCAGTTGACATTCCACTGTTTTATGTTGGTGAATCTCCATGTCGTAATAGGGATCCCAGTGGTTGCATCAATTCTAATCAACCTATTATAGGAAACTCCCAGAATGTCATCTTTCTTGCTTCCTTTAAATCTGAAAAAAATAATATTAATTAATAAAAGCAACTAGTCATTCAACATACAACTTCTTAAAGACTGGATGATAGTTTTTAAATGATTTAAGAAAGGACAATGAGAGATTTGCTCAGGAGGAGGATTTCTTTTTTAAATATTTATTTTTTAGTTTTAGGTGGACACTAAAACTAAATGGTGGAGACCATTTATGTGGTGCTGAGGATCGAACCCAGTGCCTCATGCATGGTAGGCAAGCACTCAACCACTAAGCCACAATCCCAGCCCCAGGAGGATGTTTTTATAGGAGGGAATGGGGACTAGGAAGATGGAGATGATAAAAGCTATCCTGAAGATAACTAAAAAGTGACACTGATGTCAGAGGAAAGTAAAATAAGAGGGAATCGCATCATTTTATACAAAGTTAGCACCAAGTATGTGTTCTGGGTACCCTTCTAGGCACTGGAAAGCAAACTACACTGAGAGAATATTCCTGAATAGTGGAGAATGAGAATCATGAGTATATAAAATATACACATGCCAGATAAGATCTTCAAAGAAAATAGAATACAGACAGGGATTACTGGGAATGAGGTTGTTATAATTTATTTATTTTTTTATGTGGTGCTGAGATCGAACCCAGGGCCTTGCACATGTTAGGCGAGCACTCTATGGCTGAGCCACAACCCCAGCCCGTGGTTGTTTTAATTTTAAACAGAAGGTCAGGGAAGGTCTTGGAGAGAAGATGACATTTGATTGAACAGTTGATGCCCCTGAGGGAGTGATCCACGTGGATATCTGGGGAAAGAGTTTTCCAGGCAGAGGGCCCAAGCACTTTAAAAAAAATATTTTTTTCATGCTCAAGAACCTGGCAGGAGGCCAGTGTGGTTGGCACAGTGAAGGAGGGGAGAGGAAATGCGAGGTCAGAGAGCCAAGGTCTTGCAGGCCATTTTCAGGATTTGGTGTGTTTGTTCTGAGTGCAACAGAAGCTGTGAGGTGGTTTGGAGCAGAGACTTGACATAATGTTATGGTTTAGGTATGAGCTGTCCCCCAAAAGCCTACGTGTGAGACAAGGGTAGAGGTGAAATGATTGGGTTAGGAGGGCCTTAAGCTAATCAGTGAATCACATGAATGGATTAACTGAGTGAGAAAGTGTGGGCAGGTAGGGTGTGGCTGCAGGAGGCCGGTCTCTATGGATATGCCTTTGGGGTTTGTATTTTGTACCTGGTGAGCAGGGCTCTGTGTTTCCTGTTCGACCTGTTCTGAGCTGTTTTCTTCTGCCACACCTTTCCACCTCTGCTCTGCCTTGCCTCTGGCCCAGAGCTCTGGAGTTGGACCTTTGAAACTGAGAGCCCCTAAATAAACTTTTCCTCTTCTAAAATTGTTCTTGTCAGGTCTTTTGGTCGCAGTGGTGAAAAACCTGACCAAAATACATAGTCTGACCTAGATTTTATTTATTTGTTTATTTGGTACTGGGGATTGAACTCAGGAGTGCTTAACCATTGAGCCACATCCTTAGCCCCTTTTTAATTTTTTTTTTTTTTTTTTTTTTTTTTGCTTAGGGCCTCTATAAATTGCTGAGGCTGGCTTTGAACTCAAGATCCTCCTGCCTCAGCCTCCTAAGCTGCTGGTCAAGTGTAAGCTTGACACAGATTTTAAAAGGATCAGTAGGGATGCTAAGTTGAGAACTTGAGGGACAAGGGTAGGTAGGGAGACCAGGTAGGATCACTCTGGACCTGGTCCCCAGTGACACAACAGTGTGTTTGTTTTAAAAGCCGGGCCAGGGGGATTTGCAGTAGACAGGATGTCAGTGCAAAAGAGACAGCTGAGTCAGAATGACTCCGAGGGACCTGGCCTGTGCCTCTCTAGGGAAGGTCTGCCATAGGCTGAAATGCAGAGTAATGCAAAGGAGGGGACAGGTTTTAGAGGGAAAGATCAGGAGTTCGGGACATGGTAAGATGAGGAAAAAAAAATCCTAGTTCAATAAAGCCACTTTCCACACTCCCCCCCACTTTTTTTTTTGAGACAGGGTCTCACTATGTTGCCTATTTTGGCTTTGAACTTGCAATCCTCCTTCCTTAGCCTCCCGAGTAACTGGAATGACACCTGCATGTCACCACATTCAGCTTGTCACATCTTTTTTTTTTTTTTATAAAAATGTCTTCATGTTGCTCTTAATGTTTACTTTTCTAGAATCATTCCCACACCTTCTGTTATTTACTCTGCTACCTTAATACTTAATATCACGATAACCCCTCCCCCCCTTGTTCTTTGTGGTGTGTGTGAGAATCCAGGAGTACTCTACCACTGAGCTATATCCATCCACAGACCTTTTTACTTTTTATCTTGAGACAACTTGCTAAGTTGCTGAGGCTGGCCTTGCACTTATGATCCTCCTACCTCAGCCTCCCAAACTGCTGGGATTACAGATGCACACCACCCTGCTTGACCCACTTCTTGCTTCACCTGCTTCTTTCTTCCTTGAGTTGCTCTACAGCCTCCAGGGAGTTGTGAAGCACTGGTCCAGGTTTCTTGGCATGGGGAGATTCCTACAACCACCTGCCACCCTACACCGGGAGGTCTGCTCTAGTCCTTGCAGATCTGGGAAAAGGCAGATCTTTACTCAGCCTGGGACTGCTGCCTCAAAGCCTCACCTCCATAAACAGATGCTGAAGGTGACATTACAGGTGGAGGGAAGTGAAGGGGGAAATAGTGTAAAGGAGCGATGGTCATTGGAAGATTGTTCAGGACCCCTCTGCACTTCACAATTTATCCGGCACATGATCTGTGCTGTTTCACGGGATTCTCTCAACAATGCATGTTCAGGATGTCCACTGAGAAAGTGCATCAATGAAATGCCAGAGGTCCCAGAGCTAGCAGGGGCAAAGGTGGGACTGGAAGTTGGATCTGTTTTTCTCAAGTGTCCATGTTCTCTCCACTATGTGGGGCTGACTCTTAGAATTATAGGTGAGGGGCCAGGAGCAGTAGTGCACGCCTGTGATCCCAGTGATTCAGGAGGCTGAGGCAGGAGGATTGAAAGTCAAGGCCAGTCTCAGCAACTTATTGAGACCCTGTCTCAAAATAAAAAATGAAGAGGGCAGGAGATGTAGCTCAATAATAGAGCATCCCAGGGTTCAATCCCCAATGAAGAAAAATAAAATAGAATTATAGATGAGTTGTGTGTGTGTGTGTGTGTGTGTGTATGTGTGTATTAACACAAGTGCATGCATATACATTGGTGTCCTGTACGACTTTGTCCTTCCTTGCTCTTTTGCTGAGGTTAATAAAGCAGAAAGAGTTGCTTGTTTGGGACAAATATCAGGGATAGAAGTTAAAGGAAGCGTTTCAGGGAATAAAAACATTTGAGTAAACTCCCCTGCTAGCAGATATGGGAGAAATAGGGTCTTTGGAGAGAGCCAAGAAAACAATAAAAACATTTTCATATAAGTCAATGCTTTAAAAATATAAACCAATCTTAAAATTCCCAAGTTATAAAATGAGAAAGTGACACTATCCTGCAGGATTAAGTGCAAATTTTGCTTAAGCACCAGTCTTCCTTACTGAATAAAAAAAAATCAAATTTGATTTGCAAGCATGCTTGTGGATGCATTTTGGGAAATAATTTATTATATGGTGAGGCAGAACCATCATGCTCGGTGGAGATTACCAATGAGGACACTGGATTCTATGCCAAGGCCTGCCCCTGTCTAGAAAATAAACTTGGACAAGTTCCTTAAGCTTTTTTTTTCTATATCCCAGTGTTCTCATTGGTCAGATACACGAGGGCAATGGATGGACCACCTAACAGGACTTCAGATGCAGAAACAAGGTTGCTACTTGATAAGGCTGGGTGAACCTAAGACACAGGATTTTTAGGGGCCTCTGTATGGAAACTGGAAAACTATGTAAAGCCACACCATGAGACACACGTGAGATACACAGTAAGGAAGAGGAGACGGACAAGAAAGGAATCCCAGATTTCATAAAATCAATAGCTGTCTCTCTCCTTCTGGTTTTTCAAAGGTAGTTATTCTTCTAAGAGAGGGAACATCTTTTTTTAATGTTTTAACATTGCCTTTTCCACATTTTGCTGAGTTTGGGTGGTGGGTGGTTCTGGTTCATGGACGATTTTTATGAGCATTTGAAAACATGTGGGCCATCTGTAAAAGGGTAACATTCTAAAATAAGAGTTCTGCATTCTCAGTGCGAATACACTGGGCTTCCAGAACACCACCTAACACTGGAGGGAAAGGGAGAGAGGCACGTGAACGCTGTGATCACCTGACAAGGTAGTAGGTGAGGCCGAACTCAGGTAGGGACTGCCATGCCTGGATGAACCGCAGCTTGGCTTCAACCAGGGGCATCGTGGCCACGTTCTGATGGGCTTCCATGATCCGCGCAGCCAGCTATGAAGAAAGAGGAGACATCAAGCTTCTGCTGCATTCCCATCTGCCTGTCATCATCCCCACCAGATTCCCAGTGACAACAATAAATGCCAGGCCCAACTGCAGATCCACAGAGACTGTTCAGTCTCATTCACTCACACACACACTTTCTCTTTCTTTCTCCTTCTTTTTCTTAGAAAATATAAAAATCACTAGGGAGAAGGAGGACTAAGATCAACCAACCAATAAGCTTCTAATTTTCATGCAGTTGGAGAGTTTTACATCCCTTTTCTGGGGTCTCCAGTGTGTCCATGGACAATAAGCTCATCTGTCCAATTTTTTAATTATTTCATTTCTAGTGCATTATAGTTACACATAATAGTGGGGTTAATTTTGACATCTTCATAAACGCATGCAACATAGTTTTCTCCATTTTCGATCCCCAATACTATCCTCTTCTGTTCCCTCCTCCCTCCCCTTGAGCCCTTTCCTCTACTTTACTGGCCTTACTTCTATTTGTTTGTTTATTTTTTAATTGATGCACTATAGTTATATGTAAAATTGGAATGCACTGTGATATATTCATACATGCACGCAGCATAATTTGGTCAACTTTATTTCCCCTTTCTCTCCTCTCATCTGCCCAACTTTTAATTTACTCTTATTGGAAACATAATTTTAATTTTCAATTTGTAGGAACTAAATCATTTTATTGCTAATTAAGTTCAATCTGGAACTATCAACCTATTAATAAAATTAACAGTAATTTAGCTGAGTGCGGTAGTGTACACCTGTGTAGTCCCAGCAGCTTAGGGTTGAGGCATGAGGATCACAAGTTCAAAGCCAGCCTCAGCAACTTAGTAAGGTCCTAAGAAACTCAGAGAGACCCTGTCTTTAAAATATATATTTAAAAAAGGACTGGGGATGTGGCTCAGTGTTTAGGTGCCTCTGGCTTCAATCCCTGGTACCAAAAAAAAAAAAAAAAAAGTAACAGTAATTTCATAGCAGCTTCTAACTAATACCCAGTACATAGTCAAATTTCCCCATCAACCTATTTTTTTCCTGATAATGACCCTAATCAGAATTCTTTTTATTTCAGAACATAAAGAATTTACGCAAATGAATGTCTCGTCAAGATGAGCAGTACCTGCTTAGATTTGTATTTTTTTGCACACCGAGGTGACACAAAACATTCTGGGTTCATGTCCATGCTTTCGAGACTGGAAGTCAACTGAATTGAGGATTTCCGGTTTTTCATCCTCAGAAACGAAAGGATGTTGAGGACCTCTGGCTGGTACGAGCTGTCTGCCATGGTTTTGCCCTTTGATGCCAAGATGCAGGCAGCCATCCATTGGGCATATTGATTCTCCTGCAATAAAGCCAGAGAGCTGAGAAGCAAGTTCAAGTCCAGTCCAAAGTCAACCTTATTATAAACACAGAACTTCGGCTCCATAACCCCAAACCAATAGTCTCTGCACCAGGAGAGATGTGAATTGGCACTTTCTGAGTGGCTGTTAACCGTCTAAAGTAACACCCAACAGTAGCTGTGTTGACTGTCTAGATGCTAAGGGGCTAGAGGACAGGAACTTGAACTTCAATCCATTCTGTACAGGGACTTTGCATTTAAAGATGATCCAAGGAGTGCCCTGGGGCACAGGCAGGTCAAAGTCCAAACTACAGAGAACCTTGTTATTTTCTTTATTTTTCTCCTCCTCCTCCTCCTCCTCCTCATCCACCTCCACCTCCTCCTTGTCCACCTCCTCCTCCTCCTCCTCCACCCCCCCCCCATCCTCCTCCTTTTTAAAAAATATTTTATTAGTTGTTGGTAGACCTTTATTTATTTTTATGTGGTGCTGAGAATCGAACCCAGTGTCTCCCATGTGCTAGGCAAATGCTCTACCACTGAGCCCCAGCCCCAGTCCCATATTGCTATTTTCATATTATGTCTCATCTCTATGAAAAAAGAAAACAATGAAAAAAAATCATTCCCTGATTCCCTGCATTATTTGTCCTTGGCCTAACCTTAGTAAAGATTTTAATCACAAAATAGCAATCAGGGCCATGGATGGGATCTGAATCAGTTAGTGGTAGTTTTTCTAATGTCCCTTAATGTCTGAGCTCATTTTTCACTTTGAGAGAGAACAGGTGTGGTCCCCAGCAGCTGAAAGGTATAGTTAAATAGAATTCTTCAGAGCAATAGTAGGTGTGGTATATCTGAGATACTGGCCTCAAGTTCCAACCTCCTGGTATCCATACCCTTTGCCATCTAACTGCATAGTGCATCCCACCTGAAACAGAATATATTTCCATCCCTTGACCTCCACCCACACTCATATGATTTGCTTTGGTTGACAGAATGTGGGTGGGAGTTACAGTAAGTCAATTTCAAGTCCAAGCTTTAGGAGGCCACCCATGTTGTCAGGTGTCCTCTTGCACTTCTCCCATTACTATGAGAAGAGCTTCCTTCAGGCAGCCTGGGACTCAGAATAAAAAAAATACACATATATCAGCCCAACCCCTGGTAAGGAGATAAGCCTAGCTTGTGGCTTAAAACACATCTGACCAACTGATACCAGCTTAGAAGATCAGATTCCTAGCCAACTTGCAGATCTTCCAGAAAAAAATGTTTATTTTTGAATGTCACTGGGATTTTGTTATGATGTGATTTTCGTTACAAAACAATAGCTGACTGACTCAATTGTGCTCTAATTTGAGAAAAACATCTGATAGATGTTCCCTGATCTAGTATAATTCAACTAAGAATTTTCCACTTTAGGATGGTGTGAAAGCATACCATACAACAATCTGTTTTTCACTTTTAGCACAATAAAATATATATGATATTTAGCTTTTTACTATAACATAGGCTTTGTGCTTGATGATATTGCCAACTATAGGCTAATCTAAGGGTTCTGAACACATTTAAGGTAGGCTAAGCTAGAATATTTGTAGATTAGGTATAATTAAATGCATTTTCAACTTAATAATCTTTTCAATTTAGGATAAGTCAAGAAACATGTTTTGTTCACAGGCTTAACAAAGGCAAAGTGAGGTAAGAGTTTTGTAGCTTTACTTACGTGGTCACATCTCAAATACACTTCGTTCATACCATCAGCAACTGGGATTAGTAGCTTGATTCCAAATTTTCTGCCTGCTACATTCACGTCTGGCGCAACTTCACAGCCTGAATACAAAAGACAGGGACAAAACTCAGTTGTGAGGAATCTGTTGCATCAATATCAGGCATGGCATCTGAAACAAAGGCTTTCAATGTGAGCCCCTCACATCTGGTTCTCTTCTGAACATGGAGGAGCAAGTGATGCCATTAATTAGAGGAGAACGAAATAAAACTTATAAAGAATTAGCATGGATAAAGAAAAATGATTTTCTTAAATTAAAGAAAGCTGAATTCATTCTTTTTTTTCTGGATGATGATGGCTATCCTAACTCTTAGGAACAATTATGGATATGGACTTAAAAAGAAATCAAAGCAGAGGTAATTCTCTGATTGCTACCATGATGAGAGGTAAGTGCACTGGTTAATTAAATATTTCAATTAATATATGGTTTCAGAGATTAGAATGGGCACTGACAGACATTGAATCATACATGACTGTTCTTGGCTTTAAAAAATCTATTTATTTATTTTTGGTTCTGGCCACTGAACCCAGGGGTGCTTAACCACTGAGTTCCATCCACAGTTCTTTTTATTTTTTTAAAATTTGAAACAAGGTCTCCATAAGTTGTCAACACTGCCTCAAACCTGCCATCCTCCTGCCTCAGCCTCCTGAGTTGCTGGAATTATAGGCATGTGCCACACACCCAGCATTGACGTGGGACTGGGGCTTGAACCTAATGCTTTCTCCATTTTAAGCAGATGAACAACCACTGAGCCCCAGCCCCAGCCCAGACTGTTCTTAAACTTAGAAAGCTTTTCAGGATCTTACAGTGTCTCATGGATACCAACTGTCACACTTCACAGACTCTGGACACAGTGGGAAAGAAGGGGCAGCAGAATATGAATATCCATGTTGACTAGACCACACCCAATGTTCACGTTCCATCAGGAAGAGGAGCTGCCACATGGAAAATGGTGACACCAGAGGTCCCTCCAGAAGTAAACCGTGAGCATTCTGTGGGAATCTTGCCTTCCATCTGCAAGCCACCGTGAGTGAAGGGATGCTCTTACCTCTAAGATTGAGTTTTTCTATGGGTTCTCCTTGTTCAAGTTCCTCATTTTTAAAGTAGGTTATAGATGTGTCTTTAAAGACGAACCAATATTGTTTGAAAGCTTTTAATAATAGCTTCTTTGGCCTGCAAGTTAAAGTACAGTCAACATTTCAGTCACTATCCGGAGCTGCAAAACACAGTGCAGGTGCTTCCAAGACCCCGTGGGCAACATATTCTTTCTTTTTTTTTTTTAAAATAACAATTTGCAAATTGCGCTCCCTCTCTCTCTCTCTCAATATGTGCTCTACCACTGAGCTGCATGCCCAGCTCACTAACTCATTTCTTTTTTTTTAATTGTTGATAGATCTTTATTTTTATTTATTTATATGTGGTGCTGAGAATCGAACCCAGTGCCTCACACATGCCAGGCAAGTGTGCTACCGCTGAACTACAGCTCCAGCCCCTCACTAACTCATTTCTAAAAGCTAGTAACGGGGTATGGCTTTGCTAGGCACAAGTTAACACAAAGGCTCAGGAGTTAGACCTCTTGGATCCATATTGTGGCTCTGCTACAGCCTTATCTTGTATTCCTGAGAAAGATATCCCTCCTGCCTGGGCCACATGTACTGCCCCTCTGTGATGAGGGCAATTTCAAATTCACACAGCTTTATGAGGACAGAAAGAAGCGGTCTATGTGAAGTGCTTATCTCAGTGCCTGAGATAAGGCACCAGGGAAATACTTGACAAATCACTTTGATGTAATTTGTCCCATGTGACTCTGGCAACGTTTGAATTCACTGCATACTTCCTGGAGCTGAAGAGAATGGTTGATACCATCAGTACAAGCCTCATGTTAACAGACATAACAAAAGTAAGCCACTTTTTCTGCACAGTTTTCTCCTAACCCTTAAGAGAAACAAACAGAAAATGCCCAGTAAAGCATGGAGATCACCAAAGTCTAGAGCTCATTTCTGTATAGAAAGTAATATGGAGATTCCTTGGCAAACTGGGAATGGAACTACCATTTGACTCAGCTATCCCACACTTTGGTCTATACCCAAAAGGACTTAAACACAGCATACTACAGGGACACAGCTACATCAATATTTATAGCAGCACAATTCACAATAGCTAAACTGTGGAGCCAGCCTAGATGCCCTTCAGTGGATGAATGGATAAAGATAATGTGGTATATATATACACAATGGAATATTACTCAGCAATAAAAGAGAATAAAATCATGGCATTTTCAGGTAAATGGATGGAGTTGGAGAAAATAATGCTAAGTGAAGTTAGCCAATCCCAAAAAACCAAATGCTGAATGTTATCTCTGATATAAGGAGGCTGATTCACAATGAGGTTGGTGGGGGAAGCATGGGAGGATTAGACGAACTCTAGATAGAGCAAAGGGGAGGGCGGATAAGGGAGGGGGCATGGGGGTAGGAAAGATGTGGAATGAGATGGACATCATTACCCTAAGTACATGTATGAAGACACGAATGGTGTGATTCTACTTTATGTACAACCAGAGATATATAAAATTGTGCTCTGTGTAATATGAATTTTAGTGCATTCTGCTGTCATCCATAATAAATTAGAATAGAACATATTTTGGAGAAAGATGTTCTATAGTGGCATCTGTTAGGGACAGAAAAGTTTGTGGCTTGGGCTAGACAAGGTCAGGATTGCCAACAGCAGGCCTGATGGTTGTGTTATTCAAAATAGTTAATATGAGTGAGACCTGTAAGGTAGAAAAGAGTGTATAGATGGGCAAAGAAAAGAAAGTAAGAGTTATATCTGGTTCAGCAGAACAATCTTGGCCTTTGGGATTAGACCAGGTATCTCACGCTGGGAGTAGACTTCTGTATTCAAAAATGGGAGCAGGAGGCTGGGTCTGGTGGTGCCTGCCTGTAATTCCAGCAACTCAGGAGGCTGAAGCAGGAGGATTGCAAGTTTGAGGCTAGCCTCAGTAATTTACTGAGGCCCTGTCTGAAAATAAAAAAATAAAAAGGACTAGGAATATAGCTCAGTGATAAAGTGACCCTGGGTTCAGTTCTTGGTAGAGAGAGAGAGAGAGAGAGAGAGAGAGAGAGAGAGAGAGAGAGAGAGAGAGAGAGAGAGAAAGAAAAGAGCCTGATGTTAATGTTCTGCAGAATTTTGGAAAAGTCTTTGCTTTTTTTTTTTTTTTTTGGTAGTACCGGGGATTGAATCCAGGGGTGTTCAACCACTGAGCTACATTGCAGTCCTTTTTATTTTTTATTTTGAGACAGGGTCTTGCTAAGTTGCAGAGGCTGGCTTCAAATTTGGGATCCTCCAGCCTCAACCACCCAAATTGCTGGTATTATAGGCATGTCTACCATGCTTAGCAGGTCGAGTCTTTTAATATGTCAATACTAGTCTTCCCTTAGTAAATGTGTTAGCCTTAGCACAAAGTTTAAGGAGAATATGTTCATCTTAAAACAAACAAACAAACAAACAAACAAAAACCTCAATGTACTAAAGGGGAATAGTGTGTAAAAAATATGAAACAAATGTGAAGATCATTCTATAGAATTAACACACCCAGGACTAAGAAAAACTACTGTATTAAAACAGTATTTATCATGCTGTGAGATGTAGCTAATATAATTCTGCAGAAAAAAACTCAAAATTCAGATTCTCAGTGCCTGATGGTATTTTCAAAATAAAATCTAAAAACACAGCTTATAACCAAAAGATGAAGATCCCAAAGTCTTAGTTTAATCCTAAGTATCTAATTATTTCTCTTTAGAATTAAGTACATCAGGGCATGGTGGTACAGGCCTGGGAGGCTGAGGAAGAAGGATCCTAAGTTCAAGGCCAGATTCAGCAACTTAATGAGACTTGTCTCAAAAATAAGGGCTGGGGATATAGCTCAGTGGTATAGCATACTTCCTGGAACTCTGGAGGCCCAGGTTCAATCCCCAGAACCCAGAAAAACAACAAATCAAGAATGAAATCCTTCTTTTCCATTTTAACTGATCTTTGAGAGTATCAAAAGATCTTAAACTTCTTTGACTATCTCCATGGTCATTATTTTTATTAAAAATATTTTTTTAGTTGTTGATGGACTTTTATTTATTTATTTATATGTGCTGCTTATAATTGAAGCCAGTGCCTCACACGTGTGAGGCAAGTACTCTACCACTGAGCCACAACCCCAGCCCACGGTTCTCATTTTTATTGGGAGCTTATTTTTAATTTTTAGAAAATATTTTGGCACTGGGGATTAAATCCAGGGGTACTCTACCACTGAGCTACACCCCTAGTGCTTCCTTTAAAAAATACTTTTGTTTTATTATTTTTAAAACATTTATTTAGTTGTAGATGAACACACAGTATCTTTATGTATTTTTATGTGGTACTGAGGATTGAACCCAGTGCCTCATACATGCGAGGCAAGTACTTTACCACGGAGTTACAGCCTCAGCCCTTAACTTTTATTTTAGTATTATTATTTTTTTTGGTACTGGGGATTGAACTCAGGGGCCCTTCACCACCGACCGAGCCACATTCCCAGCCCTATTTTGTATTTTATTTAGAGATAGGGTCTCGCTGAGTTGCTGCCTTGCTTTTTGCTGAGGCTGGCTTTGAACTTGTGATCCTTCTACCTCAGCCTCCTGAGCCGCAGAAATTATAGGCATGTGCCACTGTGCCCAGCCCCCAGTTCTTTCTTTCTTTCTTTTTTTAAAAAAATTAGTTTGAGGCAGGTTCTCAATAAGTTACCAAGGCTGGCTTTGAACTTTCAATCCTCTTGCCTCAGCCTCCAGAGTTGCTGGGATAACAGGTATGTGCCACTGCGTCCAGCAGGACTTCATTTTTTAGGTAATTAATGTTTTCTACAGAACCCTGTGCATGCCTGGTTGTGGATATTTCCCTCTGAATATTTTTACAGCTGCATTTGCTAAGGCTTCCTAGATTTTGTAGTCCCAGACCAGTTTCTATTTAATTTTCCCTTATTGTATAAGACATTTCAATTCCTACCTACATCTGTGTGTGTCACAAGCCTTGGCTCTGATTGCTCAAGATAGACTTTTCATTTCCCCCACAGAACTCAGTGCAAGGATGAACTTCCTTCCTGCTTTCTTGGGCTGATGGTAATTTTTCTATTCCCCATTAAATAGAGAAAATAGCCACTGCAAGTCTGCACTATTAGGCAGGTGCTTCACCAGGCTTCCTGCTTCATGTAGGCCATAACGTTTATTTCCTATCCCTACATGGAAATAAAGTATCAGCCCCAAGCCAGAAGAACCTCTATCCATGCCCTTAAATCCTCCTGTGTGGCTGAGGCTTCACTTGGAGAACCAGGTCCCCTCCTGATTTTCTGAAAACTGACACTTCTCAGTTTCTTTATGATCCATATTGTATTTACGATTCTTTTATTTCCTCCAGCATTTCTATGTCATTATAGCAGGATTGGGGATTGCATTAGACCTGATGTCATGTTGTTGGAAACCGAAGCCCACATGTTGATGGGTTCTGTAGATTTTATTTTGAAAAAAGAAAGAGCTTTATTGCAAATGAAAATAAATAAATAAATAAAAGGACTAGTCCAATACTCTCTTTGTGAAAAGGAAAGAAGCCCAGGGAGATGAAGGACCTGCTAGAGTTCACATTCTTCCTAGGAATAGAGCTATTCTCCCAATCCCCTCCCCTCCCCTTATCTCCCACTCCCCCTCTGCTTTTTTTCTTCATGTCTTCCTCCCATGAATTGTATTATACATTACATCCGGGGTCTTGAGATCTCTGGTAGATAAAGTGCCCATGGGTCAGATACAATGGCAATTTTGTGAATTGAGTGTAACTGTCACACCAAATGCTATTCGGGTAGCATAGGTGAAGCAGATGTGAGGACTGAACTCCAACCTATCATCTCCTCCACTGAAACATCTAGAACACCTTCAGGAAGGGTCCTGTCATCATTTGGTTATGAAGAGCTGGGTTTATTCTACAAAGAGAGTATGGCCTTTCAGTTTCATTGCAGAACAATTATGAATATTATATCAAGGTATATTTGTGGCTTCAAATAATTATTTTTTCTTTGCCACTCTTGACTATACCAATAAGTCAGTTATGGTTACAACTATTTATATGACAGATAATAAATGAATGACCTTATTGTTTGAGGCCACACCTATAATTACATTAAAAAAACAAAAACCAAAAAAAACCTAAACAAACAAACTGGAAATCCAGTGGCAAATACTGAGGGGGGGGGGAACGCCTGTCAATCAGCGGGATCTCCTCAATCAACAGAACCCCTGGCCAATCCTGGAGTTCAACCAGCTCCCCTGACCAACTCCAGCGGGACAAGGGACCCTAAAAATCCCCTTTCCTGTCCCAACCCCTTCCTGTCGTGAGCCCCATAAAATCCCAGTCCGGTCAAGCTCCCACGGGGTTTCTCCTCAGACCCTTCTCCTGTCCACCATGTCTGTCTGATCGAGTTCCGCCTGGGAGTGATATCCCCAATAAAGCCTCATTCAGTGGCCTTTTAAAATCCGCCTCCTTTGATTGCCGCCCGCCTTTGCCTGATCTTACAGTTACCTTTGGACTCTTGTTTCTCATTTATGCCTGGTTCATGGTTCTTCTTTCCAAGTTTTTGTTTGCATCATGTATTATCGAAAGTAACTTGCATGTCTTTTAAAGCCAGCTGCCCCCAGTGAAGTGTTGGTTTGTTAAGAAAAGTCAACAAACCATTGAGTGACTTAAGTAACTGATAGACCTTCAAAAGGACTTATTTCTTTCATCCTAACATGCCTAGGTATCCATAAAGGTGGCGGTTTTTCTTTCCATGAAAACAAAACAAACAGAACAAAATGTTAACCTTCTCTGCCTTTTTTTTACCCCCCTGGTACTGGGCATTGAAGGTAGGGGCACTCCACCACTGAGCCACCACCCAGGCCTTTTTAAAATTTAATTTTGAGACAGAGTCTCACTAAGTGGTCCAGGCTGGTCTTGAACTCCTGATCCTTCTGCCTCAGTCTCCTGAGTATGTGGGATTACAGGCACCCACCACTATGCAGGACTCCTCTGCCTTTTTAACAGTTTCAGATCAACTACCATTTTCACAAGGGAGAGGAGATAAACAAAGTTAACCACTCTCTCTATAAGGGCAGGATAAAAGTTCTGCCAAAGTACTGTGTCAAATGGTGTCAGAGTCCTGAGCCTACCGGGTGGAACCTGCTAGAAATGCTAACCTGGTATGTATGTTCATTATTACTGATGCTGGTGATGTTTACACCACTGTTTAGTGAGTAAGTACTAAAAGCCAGGTAACCATGTTAAAATGCTTCATTTACATGATTTTATTGAATCCTCCCAAAGAATAACAGGAGTTATATTCCCATCTTATAGCTCAGGAAACTGAGACTCAGAGGCATGAAAATACTCCAGGTCACCTGGCTAGTGCATGTGGTGGAACTTGGTTATCATCCACTGCCTATGTGACACCAAAGCCCATGATCTTACCTTTGAATGATGAACTTGGCTAACAGATGTGCAATTTACACTTCTGAACTCTACCTGCAAGGCTTTGTTATGGGGAATTCCTTTTCTCCTTAAAAGCTACTTACCTAAACAATTTGAGATTGTCTGCAAGCTTGGGGATGTCAGTAATGTCCTCCTAGGGAAAATAGATCACATTTCACAAGCAGGAATTCCATAAGTGGTTCTGATCCTCTACATCTGCACTGTCCAAAATAGTAGCCCTTGCCACAGATAGATTTTTAAATTTGAATGAATTGAAATGAAACAAAATGATAGCCAGGTGCAGTGGTGCACACCTGTAACCCCAGTGGCTTGGGAGGCCAAAGCAGGAGGATCGCAAGTTCAAAGCCAGCCTCAGCAACTTATTGAGGCTCTAAGCAACTTATCAAGACTCTAATAAAATATAAAACGGGCTGAGGATGTGGCTCAGGGGTTAAAAGCCCCTAGGTTCAATGCCTAGTGCCAAAAAATAAAAATAAAATCAAATGATAAAGCTCTGTCCTTTTAGTCACAGTAGCCAAATTTCCAGTAGTTACCTTTAAAGAGAACACAGAGTGAATGAATGTGTAAGAATATAGTTCACTCACTCTTATTCATTCTTCCTTATTTAGATCCAATTACAATGGACCCACCTTTCTGATTAAATGTGATTAAACGAAAATTACTCCCATGATTAAAGAAGTTAAACAAAAGGTGCCACTCAATGAATGAATCAAACTGGGGGTGGAGGGTGGAGATTATAATTATAAAGCTGCCATTCAGCCACGTTTCAGAGTTAAAAAGCAAGGGGTCATACGTGAGTTTTATTTCTTTATGTTTTCCTGGAAAGTTTTTGTTTTATTTATTTCCTGCAATCGAAAAGGTTCAGGAATGTTTGAAAATGCCCCAGTGAAAGGTCCGAATTTCTGTCAATCTTGCCCAGTGGAAATATATAACCAAGTAAACAGATAAGAAGACTAGATCTGCAAATCATTTCCTCTATTCTCACAGCTGCCCCAAGCCACAGACAGGGTGGTTCTTTCTAGACTTAAGAGATCAATTCCATGTTCCATGTTAGTGAAGTGGAGTTCTCAGCAGCCTTCTCCTCACACCATGCCAACTTACACCCGGGAAGGAAGACAATACAAAAAGTATTGTCATTAGTTGTGATGAAAATATCTTATAGTCCCTTGTAGAACTAACTCGAGAAAAGCTTGTCAGTTCTTGCTAAGTTTAAGTTTGTCCCATGAAGAGCATATTCCCCCCCCACTTTTTTCAAAATAAGGTAAAATATTCTCTTCTTTCTAATTTTAAAGCATCCATCCCCACCTGTCAGTAGGAGCAAAACCACAATGCTGGGCTAACAGAAGAAAGTTCATACCAAAGTGCTGTCTGCTTTTCCACCTTCTAGGGTCACTTCCAAATTAGAAAGGGCAGCTTCCACTTCGTCAACCTCAGACTCATTTGTAAAATCCTGTACCTCAGCCGACATCGACAATTTGCTGATGTGATACTAAAACGAAAATAGAGGTTTTAGAAACGTTATAAACGTGAAAGGACCATTAGTCATTTCTTCTTTCAATCAATTCCCCTGGAATGCTGAACATCTCTTATAAGGAAGTCTCCTGCCTATGCAGGGAAAATGACATTTTAATTGGACTCATTCTGAGACTTATAGTTAGTCCTGTTCAAACTTGATTCTTTCCCATCACTGATGGGACTGGTGGTAGAGGAGAGATCAGATTTGCAAGACGAATGCTTTACATAGAATGTGCGTATATGTGGACTATGAGGAACATCTTAAATTTAAATTGACTCTCCTCATTTTTATTTCTTTCACCAAAGAAACAAACAATGCTAGGCATGGTGGTGCACGCCTGTAATCCCAGTGACTCCGGAGGCTGAGGCCAGCCTCTGCAACTTAGTGAGGCCCTGTTTCAAAGTACAAAATAAAAAAGGCTGGGCACATTTCTCTGTGGTAAGCACCCCTGGTTTCAATCCCTAGCACCAAAAAAAAAAAAAAAAAAAAAGCATAGTATAAAGAATGGGAAGCTTTAAGCAGAAGAAACCTAGTTTCTTTCCAGTTATGAGAACCCAAGATCTCTACCTGTAGTGCTGCAAAGATCAGCATTTCTTCTTCTGTGCAGTCAATTTCTTCTAAGAGAATAGCCCACCTGGCTTGTTCATAGAGTTGGTTTATTCGGACAGCATCATACTAGAGAAATAAACAGATGTGTGTGTATATGTATATATAAAGGCTTTTTTCATATTCTACAATACAAAAATTCTGGAATAACTGAATCCATTCTCTGTGAATCAGATGCACTAAACCTTAATTCAGGTAACTGAGAAGAGCAGTTCTGTCTTTCCATTGCTCCTGCTCATTTTGGTCCTGAACTCAGTACTTGAATTTTCTCTAAATATTTTCCAGAGCTTCTTCAAAGAGCCAAACTAGCCTGTCTTAGATTCCATTATTTCCTATCTCTCTATTATTTTTCTCTGGGTAGTAAAAACAGACAACAAAAATAGTTTGCACTGTAAGTACTGTAATGAAGAGGGAGCCCAAGCTGATCAGTGAACTCTGACGGGAATTTTTAATGAAACTTTAAGCTGATTCTCAGTTAAGCTGGAAGATACGATGTTCAAATATTGCCAATAAAATTTTGAAAAAGAAGGACAATATTGGGGGAGGCATTTGTCCTCCCAGATCTTAAAACAATTAATATAGTATAGCATCAGCATAGTGACAAAGTATATGCTAGGGTGATATCTGGAGATAGATCTATGTATCCATATTTAATGTAAAACAAAAGTGACATTGCATGCAAGTAGGGAAGGGAATAATTCAATACCATACATGTTGAGAATGCCCAGTTATTTGGAGAACAAAAACCCCAAACAAAAAATGTACTTTAGAGGCTGGGGTTCTGGCTCAGTGGCAGAGCACTTGCCTAGCATGTGTGAGGCACTGGGTTCCATCTTCAGCACCACATGTAAATAAATAAAATGAAGGTCCATTGACAACTAAAAAGAAAAAAATATTTTTTAAAAAAATGGTGCTTTGCACCATCCAAAAATATAAATGATAGATGGATTAAAGATTAAATATACAAAACCACATGAGATACCTCTCACACCCACTACGATGGCTCTAATCTACAAGATAAGAACTAGCATTAGTGAGGATGTGGGGAAATTGAAACCCTTGTGCAGTAAAATGGTGCAGCCTCCATGGAAAACAGTTTGGTGGTATTTAGAGAGTTAAACACAGAATATGATTCAGCAATTCCACTCCTAGGGATCTACCCCAAAAGAGTGAAAGCAGGTACTCAAACAGATACTTGTATACCAATGTCAACAGCAGCAGCATCCACAATAGCCAAAAAAAGGAAGCAACCTGAGTGCCTATCAATGGATAAGCAGATATATGCACACATGGAATATTATTCAGCCTTAAAAAGTAACGAAATTCTGATACATGATACAACATGGATGAACCTTGAATGAAATCAGATGTAAAAGGACAAATATCGTACAATTTCACTTATAGGAATTATCCAGAAGAGGTAAATACATAGAGACAGGAAAAGAGCAAGAGGCAAGAAAGGAAGGAGAAACAGATGCACTCACACTGCACACTCAGAGGACCTGTCACCCAGCTTACATTTTCTGCCATTTAGTGGCTGACTTGCAACCCCACAAATGGCTCATCTGGAGCACAGAAAGGGCAGAATTTCAAAGCACTTATTTCCCCCCTTATTAGGTGTCCTAATACATTTCAGGGGGGAGGTGTGCACTGAGAGTGAGGGGGTGGCCAGCTAGAGTTTTCGTACAGATGACACTTTCTCTCAGAGACTTCTTAGCACTGCAGTCCTGTGTGCACCACCAAGTGGTTCTGTCATGCATGGGAACCTGCCCTTGACCCTGGCCTCTGACAGCTCCTTTCCTTCCTGTGGCATCAGGACTCCAGTGCTGAGAAACATTTGCTCTTATCCCTTCGTTCTTGTGAATGCGGGGGGGCAGGGGGCCACTGTGCTAGGCCATAAAGATCCCAGGAGACTCCTGTTAACTCAGGGACAGCTGACCTGCCCTCGAGAAACCAAGAGATGAAAACTAAGAAACCAGTATATGTGTGTCAGTCTAACCCTGCTGAGATCAAGAGACCCCACAAATCGGTCCTAATTTTGATAATGAAATGACTCAGTTTTACACTTCCATGCATTCACCGAGAGAGAGAAAGAGAGAGAGAGAGAGAGAGAGAGAGAGAGAGAGAGAGAGAGAGAGAGAAAAGAAAAGAGAAAAAAGTTTTATATTTTCTTGTGAGAAGTTTTCTTACTTTAGGATTTAAATCAAAGAAAGTGTAGTATTTAAATCGTAACTGCAGTTGCTCATCCTCTTGGATTCCTTGTTCCATAAGGGAGCGTGAAGAATCTAGCCAACTAGAAAACAACAGGATAGGTTTTAAAAGCCAGGCAATTTTACATATGTACTCATTATATTATATTATATATTATACTACTATATATGCACACACACACACACAAACACACACACACACACATAAAACACCCTTGAAGAGTGGCAAAATAAGAACATTGCAAAAAAGTAGTAAGCACATAATAATAGCTTATAACTACATTTTATCCTAGAGTGTTTTAAGGTGATAGATATGTATATATGACATACACTATATGCATTTATGTACATATGACACACACATGACATGTATATGTAAAGATGAGGTATATATGACATCTAAATATATGTCACCTTAAAACATTTTAAAATGCAGTTTTTTATATATATATATATATATATATATTTTTTTTTTTTTTTTTCTCATTCTCATTAACACTCTAAAGTAATCCACTGAAAGAACAAAGCAGTTTTTATTATCTATCTCAGTTTTATAGATGTGGAAACTCAGTCTTTTTTTCTTTTGCATCCGGAGCCACATCCCCAGCCCTGTTTTGTATTTTGTATTTTATTTAGAGATAGGGACAGGGTCTCACTGAGTTGCTCAGTGCCTTGTTTTTTTTTTTTTTTTGCTGAGGCTGGCTTTGAACTCATGATACTCCTGCCTCAGCCTCCGGAGCCACTGGGATTACAGGCGTATATCACGGCACCAGGCTGGAAACTGAGTCTTGGTGACATTAGGTCGCAGTCACGTGGTGGAGCCAGCATGGTAGTCTGTCCCAACTGCCTTGGTACCAGGTAGTTCACTCCAAAGCTAGGCCTATCTTACTGTCTAGTGCTTTCTACAATGAGGGAAATATTCATATTTGTGCTGTCCAATGTATTCACCTTTAGCCATCTGTGGCTGCTGAACATTAAATGAGGTTAATGCCTCATTTTAATTTTAATTAATTTACCCCAAATTTAGATTTTAAATATTTCTATGTGGCTTGTGGTTCTTGTACTGATGGTATCATTTTCAAGATGAAAAATAAAAGCTGGGTAATGGGGACAGGTAGAGGGATGGAGACTAAAAGTTGGTAACAAAATGCTGTGGGGATGAGCATCACCGAATACCACTGAACAGAAGTGGCCTGAACTCCCATTCTATTACTCCTTGTGGAATAGCAAGAATAATCAAGATATAATCTCCTTTCTAAAGGAAATGACAATCTTTGGCCGGGGTGGGGGGTGGGGGGCCGTGATCAAGACTTATAATAAAGGAAGAAGGTGACAGTGGAGTAATGTTAGGGAAGGTGACAGTGGAGTAATGTCAGGGAAGTGACTGATCAACCTGGATTAGTGATACTCAGGAAGAGGTCTGTGGTTGAGCCTTCAGAGACTGAGAAGTAGAGACAGGAGGTGGAGCAGTGACAGTAACAGTACCCCCATGAAGCACATTGAGGGACAGGAGGTCACAGTAGGATACAGAGACACCCATGGGAGTCAGGTCTTACGGAGAGTGACTGCTGTTAACAAGGTTGACTTTGTTTGGTGGGCAATGGAAAATAAAAGAAATGGTGGTTTGAGAAACAGTGTGGGTGTATTTTCTGAGAACATTTCAAACAGAGGCCCAGGACTTGCCCTTAGAAGGCCTACAGGGACAACGTGAGCCAGGTGGACCACCTTGGATCTCCCCAACTGGTTCATGAAAACCAACATACTCATAAACTACTCACAAACATTCCATAAAGCATACTTGGCACACCTGGAGCAGAAGAGAATTATATTTACATATATCAATCCATTGAGTTACCCAAACACACAGATTTTATCACAGTTGAAAGGTACTGAAATGACCACAGGCTACATCTATGCCTTTTTTGCTGCTTAAGTCAACTACTAAAGCACAGTTCCCAGGACTATTAACTTAAAACTTAAACACTCCCTGATCTCCGGGACAACTCTCTCACTAAGAGAGAAGCAAAATAGAAGTCACGTCCTTACCCTGCGTTAAGCTTGGCTTTATCAATCAGAGACCGAGGCTGGTACATAACAGCAAGTGCCTCTGGTGACGGGGGTGGCTGGCTGAATGCGAGGATGTTGCAGTTTTGTTCTGTTAAAGGGCTGTCAGTGAACCAAGTTATGGTGGAGGATGCCGGAGTTCCATTGACGGGGTCATAGGTAGGAGTCATGGTCTTACTGTATAAGCCAGGACTTCCTGCAGAGCAAGAGGTAGATGGATCTCATGAGAGATTCAGGTGGGAATTTTTAGAAAAAAGAAGTACTCCCATTCCTTACACTAAAATGAAATTTGACTTTCAATGTTTATATCATTTAGAATGATCAGAGGAGTTATGATAGTTAGGAGATCAGTTATATACAGACAAAGACCTTGTCTACTGTATATTCAGTTTCTGGGAACTCAAAGATATAAAAGTTTCCTCAAATAAAAAATGTTGGGGACCATTTTTCTAACTCAAAGCTCTCTTATTTCAACAGAAGCCTTGATGCTATTAGAGAACTGGGGACCTCACAGAGCGCAGGTACAAAATATGTTTCAGGTACTCCTGAATCACATAGCAGTGCTTGGCCAATTCTAAGAATACAGCAAGTCAATTATTTGGCTCAAGTTTGCATAAGGTACACAGACCTCTTTTATTCTTTGCATTGCAATATACTGCACAAGAAAGCCCTCAATATTGCAAGCATGCTAGAAACTTGATTATTTTGATATAAAAAGAAAATTATGATACCTCTCCAGAATTTTTACCTGGAGAAATTTCCCCTCATTCCCAATGAGAACTTGAATTCAGGAAAGAATTGCACTAAAATAGAATCAGGAAGAGAAAAGTATATTTGAGTAATCCAAAGTATCTCCTTTTTAAATATTCTTTTATCCCCGTATCCCCGGTTTATGGACATCTGTACCAAAATTTCCATTCTCAGAAACACAAGATTTGCAATTACAACAATGAATTATTAAGCTTATCTGCTGAAAAAAAAGGTCTGAAATAAAATTTTGTTATTTCCAAACTTAACTAGGTAGCTCTTCCTCATCTCATCGATCCTAAAATTTTATTCCTCCTTTGAGGGGAAGAGAAAGGCCTATTTTCCCTCTTTGGTTTTCTTCTACATTCACAAATTAAAACAAATCTTACTTACCTGGTGACCCTGTTGGAGAACTCTCCAGGTTGAGAATATCTTCAATTATGGGCTCCTTATTATTTTTATCTTTCTTTTTCTTTTTCTTAAAAAAGTCACCAGAAGGCTTTAACAAGGAAAGTTCTTCTGATCTTCTAATATCTAAAATAAAATAATAAATAACATTTTTTTTAAAAGAAGAAAAATAAATAGGATAAAGAGCATTTCGAGACTCAGAGCCATTTTCTGCATTTAACACCATATCTCCAGAAATCCCTGGGAAGTAAACAGAACTAAATTGAATCACTTTTAAAGACATAAAAGGGGAAGAGTTGTCTTTAGACTCTCTAAACTGTGTGTGTCTGTGGGTAAATAGTGGAGGAAGATTCAGTCTAATATAATTTCTAGTTTGCTTTTTAATTTATTATGAAAATACTTCAAATACATTCAAAGCAAAGGAAATAGCATAATATCCTCCTTCCTACACTTCACTGCCAGCCTCAACCACTACTAATGTTGTACCATTGTTGTGATTTCCATTTGCCACCAACTTTTCCCTGCCTCCCTCCGTTTTGTTTTTGTCTTAAAAAAAACAATCAAGGGCCCATCTTCTTTTTTCTTTGTGGACCCCAAACCCCTAAAACCTTCATCTCATACACTGTCCAGCAGGTCTTTTCACACCCTGCCACCTCTTCTGGGCACTTGCCATTTCACTGCTTCCAGAGCCTTTGTGTCTCTCTCTGCCTGAGGGCTTGCTCTGGAGGCCAGCAGGGCACGCAGTGCTCTCCAAAATCATCCCTCAGTGGTGCACAAGCACATTGTCCCTAGGGTGGTAAGCCCTGAGGCTGTGGCTGAACTGTCTCTCAGAGGTCCCCAGTGGCCCACAGCTGAGGTTTGATAGCTTGATATTTCCAATCTCACTTCCCCACCCACACCTGGTGTTTACTGATAACATCTGCTAAGAAACTGTTTATACTTGACTTCTCTCCTCGGGTCTGCTTCCATAGATCCCAGACTAAGATAAGCCCCCTTCCCTGCCATTCACCCAATATGTGCATTATTGCTGATCAGAATTGCCAATAACCATTACCACACTGAGTGGCTATAACACCAAGAACAAGCCAAGGGATGTGATGACCGAGGGTCCCTGGGCAGCATTCCTGGGTGTCCGTGCACTGGCTCCTGTTAGATTCTCTCAATCAATCAGTTCACACACTGCTTAGTACCAAAGTGGAGCCCAGCAGTGCAGCTTGATTCTCTCCCCAGTAGCCCGGGATGTCTGACTGACAGGTTGCAAAGCACACCTGCGGCCACTCAGAATGCATGATTTATGCACAACCCTAGAGATGAACCAAAAAGCCTGGCTAAAGATGTAAGCATTAAACAAAAATCAATAGCAGCACCTCTATCTCCAAGTCTGGGATCTGTGTCCTCCCCACCCACAGTCCCCCACTGACAAACACAGTGGGGGCGGGGGGGGGGACCTTATACAACCTAAATGGATTTAGCTTCAGTTGATCAGATATAAAAAGACAATGAATGGAAATGTCAACTTCCTTCCTTGCCTCCTGGGTTTTACGGTACTGGGGCACTAAAACACTGAGCTACATCCCCATCCCTCTTTAAGATAGGGTCTTGCTAAGTTGCTGAGGCTGGCTTCGAACTCAAGATCCTCCTGCCTCAGCCTTAGTGTCACAGGGATTACAGGTGTGTGCCACTGTACCTGGCTCAGGAAGTGCTTTCTGCCCTCATGCTATTTCATGCTGTACTGGCCCTCCCTGTGCAGCACTGGCATTCCCAATCCTACTGATCCTTTCCCTCTTTTCTCTATATTGTCGCCCCTTTTAAAGCATCCTCTATTATTTTCTTATTACATTTATTGGCTATTATTTGCCTCTGCCTGCTAGGATGCAAGCACCAAGAGGGCAGGAAACCTAGAATCTTTATCACTAATGTCTCCCCCGCGCTCAACACGCTGCCTGTCACATAGTAAGTGCTCAGTAAACATTTGTTGAATGATTCGGTTCACAGTTGAATGGAGGAGACAGATTCCTCAAGGATATATTATGTATTGGGTGTTCAAGAACTGACTTTTGGTCTTAGTATCAAACTTCTTTGATATGAACACTATCAAAAATAAACACTTCAAAAAAATATAAAAGGAGAGCACCTTCATAGACCTAGTTTTCCTCCTTTTATGAAATCTCAAAAAGAAGAAATGGGTTAAATAGTGTTGTCTCTATGAGTGTTTTACTTTGGGACACAGATCCATAAGGAATTAGGCTTCCATTCACAATTAGTGTACTTTTCTGCTTAAAATAAATCTCACTGGTAATTTAAAATAAATCTCACTGACTCACAGCTATTTGCTGGAGTCAGGTGTTAGTGAAGTAATGGAGACAGCAGCAGCAGCAGAAGAAGAAGTGAAGATACGTCAGCTCTTTCAGTGATGAAGGGTTTAACAGAAACTCTTTCTGGGGGGGGTTGTCTTTAATAATGATTTGAGCGTAGCTTGAAGAAATGAATTTGCAGAGCAATCTTCGTGGTTTGTCTCTTCTATCTATGAAGGTCTTTTTTAGTTTTTGCTCCCTAGATTTAACTGATTTATTTATTTATCTTTTTCCCCTATTTTTTATTGGCACATTCTTGTTGTACATATTGGTGGGGTTTATTGTTACATATTTTCACATGCAAATGAGATGCAAATACATGCAAACATAACAACATAATTGGACCAATATCACTCCCCAGTATTCCCCCTTTTTGTTCTCTCCTCCCTGCCCTGGTCCCTTACCTCTACTCTATTGATTGCCCTTTGAACTGCATGAGAGTCTCTCAACTCTTCTTTTCCCTTTTACTTTACAAATGTCTTTAAAAATTTTTTTTTTAAGTTGTAGATGCACACAATACCTTATTTTATTTATTTATTTTTATGTGATGCTAAGGATTGAACCCAGTGCCTCAACACATGCCAGGTGAGCACTCTACCACTGAGCCACAACCCCAACCCTACAAATGTCTTTTTGAAACAGTTTTAAGCTGTATGGAAATGAATCTGATGTGGGTCAAGGATGTTCTATTTAGTTTAACTGCACTGTGATGGCTGCAGTACCTGGACTTTGCAGTGTACTTCCCAATAAAGCGGGTGCTTTCTAATCAGCCATTCGGGGCATGCAGAAAGCAGCACACACAAGCGTCTAAAGGGCACAGGGGCCCCTGGGTACTCACTCAGGCTTTTGCAGATGTCACTGACAGCCTTAAACACCACAGCCGAGAAGCTGACTCGCAACCTCACCGTCTTCATGTTAGGCAGCCGAAGGCGCAGCATTTTGTGCTGAGGGGTGAAGAGAAGCTTGGCATCTGCCTGAACCCCACATTTGTCCAGGGTCCAGTGGGTTTTCAGAAGCCAACAATGTTTCTGTTCCCACCAAAGAGCAAAATCTGACCAGTCTTGAGCTATGTCTACAAAGATGGAAGACACAATTAGGCAAAATGAGGAGAAGCAGAAGGAGCTCTGGAGGGTTCACACTGCCCCGGAATCCATTTCACTGTGTATAAAACCTGGAATAAACAACCCTCTTTGGCTCCCCATCTCTTTTTATAGCTCAAGGCTCAACAATCCTTGGCTGCTCTACAGTCACCAAGGCCTGGCAGGGAGAAAACAATGTATGAACCCTCCCATCATTTACATTTAAGTAGCAAGAGGAGCAGAAGCATGACATTTTCGTTTTTGACGAATGCTGATGCTGAAGTTATTTTTCCTAAAATCCCTCTGTGCCACTGTCCTTTCTGGAAGGCCAAAAGCATGTGGCTTTGTTTAATGCATCTTATTTCTCTCACAGAAATAGATTCTTATTCTGGGTGCAGCAGCTCATGCCTGTAATCCCAGCCGCTCGTTAGGCTGAGCAGGAGGATTGCTAGTTCAAAGCCCAGTCTCAGCAATATAGTGAGGCCCTAAGCAAGTTACTGAAACCCTGCTTCAAAAATTTTAAAAAAATAGAAACAAAAGGGCTGGGGATGTGGCTCAGAGGTTAAGCACCCCTGGGTTCAATTTGTGGTACCAAAAAAAAAAAAAAAAAAGGAAATGAATCCTTACACTCCAGATCACAAGGAAATATCAACAGTCCCCAAAGTCCACATAGAAGTGCAGTAAAGCTGACGTTTCCCTCTCTCAATAATGGCCCAGTCTTTTAGTACCACCATAGTCCCATTTTCAAAACATCTACACCAAAATCAGAGTTGCATGTTTTCTCCCTCTTAACATTAGCACTGACATTGAATCTTTCCTCTCCTTCACCACTGGCTTAAAGGTGAATCCCTTCATCAACGTTGTAGTCAATATTCAACCATTCTTTTGGCTAAATACAGGGATGCTAGTGTTTTTGTATGGATATGAAGTGTCTCCACAGATTTTATGCTGAAGGCTTGGACCCCACTGTAGCAGTGTTTAGAGGTGGGGATTTGGGCAAATGATTGGATCCTGGGAACTCTGATCTCATCAGTGGATTAATCTATTAAAGGTTTCACAGCTGATTCTAGGTTAAGAACGTGGGTCACTGGGGCCAGGTCTGGGAAGGACATAACTAGTCCTTATCCACTTCCTTGAGCAAGTGTTTTTTCATTCTTTCTCTTTCTCTCTCCCTGTCTCCCTCTCTCTTTCCCTGAGACCTGAGGCAGATTCATACAATGAAATATTATATAGCAGGAAAATAAATGAAACAATATGAGTGACTATCTCAGACGTAATGTTGGGTGAAAGAAGATGTGTAAGAGTATATCCTGTATAATTACATTTATATGAAGTTCAAAAACAAGCAAAATTGTTCCTGTGATGTTAGAGGCCAGGTTAGTAGTTACCCTTAGTGGACTAACAATTAGGAGAAATCAGATTTGGGGCATGGGTCGGAGAACAGATTAGGAAACAGGTCATGGTCTATGTAATCTGGGTGATTAGTTACATGACTGAAAATTCATTGAATCATACCCTTATGATAAATGTACTTTTCCACATTTCAGTCAATTTCCTTAAAAAGGCTTTATCTCATTAGCATAAATAGGGAAGCTATTACCAAAGTCTTTTCATAAACAAAGGAAATAGAATGTCATCAAATTTTAGGCCTAATAATGTTGACATGGTGACTTCCTGATGTGAAGACTCTGACCCAAGAGACTTCACTTTCTCTGTTTGAACAAGTACAGTAGCAGATGATAGATAAATGTTTTTATAGTTTGGGTCTGAAATGTCCCCCCAAAGCTCACATGTTAAAGGCCTGTCCCCAGCTGGTGACAGTACTGGGAGGTGGTGGAAAATTTAGAAGGTGGTCTAGTTGTAGGAAGCAGATCATTGGGGGCGTGCCTTTGAAGGGTTTATTTTTCCTGCTTGTTCTCTCCCTACCCCCAAACTTCCTAGCCACCACGAGGTAACCTCTACCACATGCTCCTGCCATAATGTTTGGACTTACCCAGACCCAAAGTAATGGAGCCAACTGGCTGTGTACTAAAACATCTGAAATCACAAGCCAAAATAAACCTTGCCTTTTTAAAGTTGATTTCCTCAGGTATTTTGTCACAGTGACAGAAGGCTGATTAACACAGTGTTAAAAGACACATCGGCACCAAATGCACTTTATCATTGAACAATCAAGTATTAACAGGGAACTGACACAGTGGTTTAATGCCATGCCACCTAAAATCATCTTAGACATCACCGGTGGCAAGGACTTTGTCCATGTGGAAGTACAGCACTCTACCTATTTGGGAACATGAGTTTGTCACCAAAGACTCAAGTTTTCACAAAGGTGATAAATTTTGTTTGAGGTTCTTGCAGGACCCATTATTTCTCTCTGTCCTGGAAGAGATTGGGGAACAAGGAAGAGGGCTGTGCTCTACAGGCAACTGTGAGATGAATGACCAGAAGAAATTACATGATCTGGCAACCTAGACCAACTATGCAGCAGTGTTGTAGCAGAGAGCATTTCTACTACACAGAAACCATCGAGAAAGAGGAACTTACTGATCTTTTCTACCAACTTGAGCATCACACCCCCGACATGCAGGTCTCCGGACACTCTCAGTGTGATGTCTCTTGGCTCCTTTTCATTTGGATTGTGAACTTGGACCATGAGCTCCCAGGATGCAGATGCAAAGTCACTGGATGAGATCATAGTGGCACAGGCAGGTGTCTGTCGAATAAAAATGAGGACATAAAACAGGTGAGAAGGGAACTGGAAAGGGCTAGTAGAGCCTGCAGAACAAAACACTTTTTTGTTTCTGTATTTGATTTTTGCCTGGTCTTCAAAAGATTCCACAGCGTTCCTGGTGCCCAGACATTAAATTCAGCATCTTAATAGTAGAGACAAAATGTCTTATAAAAATGGACCTAAATCATCTAAAGATTATTTTATCTTTATTTTATAAAATAAAGATTATTTTATAAATTAATCTTATTATTATTAATAATAATAATATTATTATTAATTATTATTTTATTTTATAAAATACAGATTATTTTATCTGTATTTTATCTTTCTGTCTACATCCACACTTCCAGGACCCCTTGGCTATGTTTTGTTGTTTGCCCATCCAATACATCAATTTTTACTTTCCTTCTCTATTGAATTTCTCGGCTTTCTCTGAACTATTCCAACAAAAGTCAATTCTCCATGGTATATTTTTTTTTTTAAAAAAATCAACATTATTGAGGTACGATTCACCTAAAACAAAACACGCAGATTTTAAATGACATACAGTTTGATGTATTTTGTTGCATGCAGATTGTACTTCAACAAAGTTGACTTTAAAAAAAGATTCCATTAAAACTTTTTTCTATCTTTAATAAATTTGTATTACCACATTCCTCCCCCAAATATCTGTATCTTCTGGCATGAAAGCTCAAAAAAAAAAAAAAAATAAAAACACAACAAAATTATTTCTATGTCAGTCATTATTCTACTTTAAACACATATAAGTAAAGATATAGGCCATTAATAATCAGTGCTATGTATTTGATTTACTTAAGTTACTGTATCAGATCATATAGAAGTTGATAATGTAAATGCACTTTTGGCAAAATAATTTTAAAACAGGGTGAGACACATAAAAAGCCTACTCTTCAAAGTGCAGATGGGGGTGGGAACTTCAAACCTCTTAGCTCAAAGGAAGAAACTAAGCAGTATCAACACTAAAATGTATCAGGGGTTATAGGAACATTCAAATCCAAAACTGGCAAGACTAAAAGTCGAGATGTCAGTGTCTTTTAAATAGTAAGAAATGATACTACAAATCCTGGTTGTTTTAAGATCATTTAAATCATTATGAGAAATCCATGTTTTCATAAGGCCTACATTGAGAAAAATCAATGCACTCATATTTCCACATCAGGGTTTCTTTTCTAACTGTAAGCACACAGATCCTTTGGGGATCTTATTAAAATGCAGATTCCATTCAGCTGATCTGGAGTAGGGCCCTGGGCCCCTGCATTTCTAACAGCTCCAGTGATGCTTTGTAAGGATTCTGGCTGTGGAAATGTACAAGGCAGTGTTCCTCTGGTGCACAGACTCCCAGAAGGTTATAGGCACTCTGTTTTCCACACTTGGAATGTTTCTCCCTGGAACTAGTAAGATGACCAATACATGCTCAGTGCCTAGCTGCTATGGTAATGTCCTTCTGAGGAGGCTCTGTGCTACACATACAGTCTTATCAGCTTTGACCCTGTTTTTTTTTTTTTTTGTTATTATTAATTTTTTTTTAGTTGTAGAGGGACACAATACATTTATTTTATTTATTTATTTTTATATGGTGCTGAGGACTGAACTCAGTGCCTCACACGTGCTAGGCAAGCGCTCTACCCCTGAGCTATAACCTAGCCCCAGGAACACTGTTTTATAACAAATCAAATTGAACCCATCCACGTCATACTACTCTTGAGTTTATATGAAACTCCACATTTGTTAGCACCAGGACAATCTAGTTAAATAGAATGGCTGGCTCTGCAAACCTGAACAGGCTTAGAACAGATTTAGTATGTCTGAATCAATCAAGAGTTCAGAGTATTTCCTAATGTTTTATAACCAGAGGATTCAAAGGCGGCAATACATAGATACATACACCTCTCATTGCAGAGGTTCACAGGGCAACCTCTTGCATAAGCAATGCCCTGAAGAGATTATATGAGGCCTCACTGTTGGCTTCTGTCATCATTAGTTTGCAGTATTATTTTCTGGGTAATGCACTGTGCATTAACTATTGTCCTTGAGTTACCTCCTTCACGCTCTGGGCAATTCCCATTTCTAAATGAGAAAACTCAGGCTCAAAGAAGTTAGGCTACTTGTCTGAAGTAACACAGGTTAGATAGTGGAGCCCAGACATTAATCCACATCTTTCTTACTCCTACTTGCCTACCACACTGGGAAATGTTCTGGGTAATTAATAGGAAAGATAATGTTTAAAACCACAGAGTGAAACTTTTCACAGCCTTTGCATTTCTATCAACACAAATCTTTACCCAGTGGAGAGACAATAAAGACAGCCCCTTCATAGGTGAACTCACAACTTGGCATTGAAATGCTTGGCTGCAAGAGCCTTATAATTTCTAAATTGCTATGCTCTGAGCTTTCATTTTAAAATGTTTTGTACATAAAGAAAATGACCTTTCTTTTAAGGTGACTCCTTGTACATAAAGAAAATGACCTTTCTTTTAAGGTGACTCCTTGTACATAAAGAAAATGACCTTTCTTTTAAGGTGACTCCTTGCTGCTGTTCCATGGACAATCAGACACCAGGTCTTTTCCTGACCCTTGTTGATTAAAACACCCCTTGTATAGGCAATAGATGGTGATTTCCTTACAACGAAGTCCTACCTGGTTCTAACCTGTTTTCCCCACATTCCTTTCCTATCATTCTGAGCCTTGTGTTTTTGAATGAACTTCTCATCTGCAGCAAGCTGTTACTTGTTGAGAACAGCAAACTTTAGCTGGGGAAAACATATCTTAGGAGACCCAAACAAGAAACAAAACGCAACGGGAGACGTGCCTTTCCTGGTGAAGTTCAGCGGCCCTTCACAGAAAATGCAAGAGAGAAATCGAGGAAAAAGGGTAGGTAGTGGGAGATAAGCCCCACGCTTTCCCTGGAGGATCAGGTGGTGCTCAGTGTCTGAAGGCCATTTGCTGTGTTTGTCGCTAGCACTGCGGGGTCCTGGGGTGGGTGCCTGGTGGGCCAGAAACCTGCCTCTTACCCATTAATGTTGCAGTACCTGGGACTGGACATAAAGTTTTTGCGCAGCCAGAAGCACAGGCCAAAGAAAGTGGTCGCACCCCAACGACATTATTTTCAATCCAACAGCCGTTTAACTGAAGAGGGCTGCACCAGTGAAGGGGACAGCGGTCTCAGGACTCAGCAGCACGCATCAAAGCCTCCAGAACCCCTGTGCCCAGCTCTAAGCCCTGAGCACCCACCTTCTTTTCCTGCCTGTTGCGTCCAGTCTTGCAGATCGACACGTGAAAAGGTGCACCCCTAGAGACCCGGGCAGATACCACCCCAGGCGGGGCCGGGGGCGGCGCTGGCGAGGTGGAACTTGCGGGGACAAGCAGTCGCAGCGGCAGTTCGGCTCGGTTATGGCAGGCAGGGGCAGGTGGCTTGGTGCGCTGGCGAAGCTGCTCCGGGACCTCCCGCAGAGGCTCGGCGTCTGCAGGCAGCCCAGCACCGCGCACCAGGTGCACCTTCTTGGTACGCGGCCCCCAGCTACACCGCCAAGGCCAGCGCAGCGGGGCAGGCGAGAGCACGCCCAGTCCCGGGCTTGCCTCGTCTTGCGGTCCAGGAGAGCAGGCACAGTCTACGGATTTTTTTTTTTTTTTTGAAAGAGCAAAAGGTGGTAAAAGGGGTGCTTTGGAGCAAGACGGCTGGAGGACCTGGGACACGTGCTCACCCTGCGCCCTCTCCTGCTGCCTCTTATCCCTCTTTTCTTAGACTACCTTGGATTTTCCCAGCACCTCCACCCCCCCACACCCCACCCCGGGATCGGCCCATGTGCTTGAAGTTTTGCACTTTTTCTTTCCCTCAAGGTACACCAACTGCCCCCACCCCCTGGGTGTGCGCAGCCCTGGAAAATCCCCGTTTCCTTGTAAAGAGCCCTGGAGCGCTTGTGATCAGCGACGTGGGAAAAACAAAACGATTCATCTCTGAGTAAGGCGTGATGCAAATCCTCAAGAAGATTTGATACCTAAGGATGGAAGACCCCCTGGTGACCCAAGGCCTATACTGGTGAGGCAGTCTGGACCGCGCCTGGATAGCTCATCTCAGGATCATCACTCAGTCCAGACTGTTAGCTTCCTGTCGAATTTCATTGGTTTCATTCCCTACAAATTGGTCTATCCAGTATAATATTCCCTTTGCTATTCAGATCATTTAAAATATTTTTTTTCAAGGTCTTCTGTTTTGAGATTATCATTTTGTATGACTTTATTTTTCTTTACACTAAGTGGGGATTGGTGGCTGTTAGTATTAAAGTATTGCTTTCTATTTCTTTATTCAAATCTCTCCATCTTACCTTTTTATTTTTTGGAAGTATGATGTGAGTTGCAAGTGTATCAACTCTTTTGCAATACTACTTTTATCTTTATGCAATACTACTTTTCCTCTTTTCAAAAAAATTTTTAAATTTAAGATATTTTATCTCATATAACTTTTTGTTTTAAAATGTGTTGCATACCATAATTTTTCTATCCCAGCTTTCTTTTGCCGACTTTCATATGTAACATTCTTATATCATTATGCTTTCAGTCTGTGTCCTTAGATTTAGTAGCCTGTAAATTACATAGTTGTATTTTTTTTAGATTTAATTCTGTTATTCAAGCTTTTCGTTTTGATTGGTGTTATGTAATAATGCATTTATAATTAAATGAATTTCTAAAAGTGGGAAAAAAAGAATCTTCTGTGTTCATGGTGCAAATAATGAAATAGTATCTATTATTAGTTACCCATACACTGATAAACTGACTTGGAAATTAACACTGTCAAAAAGGAAAATCTTGTCCTATTTGGGAGCCTAAGGTAGGAGGATCACAAGTTCAAGGTTAGTTTCAGCAAACTGGAAAGACCCATGTTACAAAATAAAACATAAAAAGGGCTGGGAATGTAGTTCAGGGGTGGAGAACCCCTGAGTTCAATTTCTAGTACTGCCAAAAAAAAAAAAGAGAAAGAAAAGGCATGCCTACATTATCATGCCAGACACGAGTAGAGAAATATAGTCATAGTTCATAGTCTTTGAATACAAAAGGGATATAAATAAATAGAAGGTCTTTGAAAGTCTCAGCTGCTTCAACTTGTTAAACCGAGTAGCTTTCTTCCACTAGTGCGGTCCCACTATCTTTGATGAACCTTTAAAGTTAAAAAAAAATTCTATGTATTCTATAATTTAGTCTGAGAAAACTGCTTGAAGGAGGTGGAGGGTTTTTTTTTTTTTTTCTGATTGATGGTTTCATTTGACAAAGCAAATGGGGTACTACCCAATATAAAGGTCTCCATTGAGTCTTCAGCTAATAAACATGCTAAATATCTGGAACTAAGTACGAAATGCAACAGACAACTAAAAAGTATTTTTTATTTTCATCAAGACTTTGGGATGCACAAAATGGGCTGGCTGTGTTCATGTGCAGGGAGAACATGTTTTGTTCTGCTGAAAGCGGAATGTGCTTATAATAGCTATGTTCTCCTTTCCAACTGCATGGATAACCAGCACTCTCAATGCCCAGGCAAGTTCTAAAATGTTCTTCTTGCCATGGTGGAAAGGGTGTGTCCTGATGTATCTGCAGCCCTTGGATGAAGAGGGTGAGCAAGAGCAAGGAAGGATAAAAAGAGCCTCACCAGAGGCTGTGCTAGGGCCAGATGTTTATAATGAAGAAGCAAGAAACACACCGACTGTCCTTCCCTCTGGGTCTCCTGCAGAGTTCCTTCCCTTTCCTCTTCCTTTGCCCTTTCTCTTGTTATACTGCATCCATCTCAGGCAAAAGACACAAAGGAGATAAGAGTGATAATTAGGTCTTCCTCCCTGCTAATTATAAAGTTCCTTTCCATGGAGATAATAGTTACCTGTTTCTTTGGAACCTTCCAGAGATAGTCTATACATGTAGATTATTTTTGCTTCTTAAGCAAGTAATAGAATTTCCAAACATTGCTCTGCATTTTGCTTTTCTCACTGTAATATATTTGGGTGACTGTAGAAGACACCAGTCATATTCATAACTTGGAATGTCCTTTTTAATATGCATGGAAATACCTATGTTTTAATCCTAGTCCGGAAGTCAGAACTCAAATTCCCTTGCAGCTGGGGCACAGGCCTATGACTTACGCGATTTCATTCAGATACAAAAGGACTTTAGTTTGGAAGTGAGTGAGCTTCCATTCTTCTGATGTGGCTGGTGGCATGAGTGCGTGAGTGTGAGGATGGTAGTGACAGTGTTGGTGATTTCCTGAAGGCTGACTTCCTGATGTAGAAGGCATGTGACAGCATTGGCTAGTGGCAGTAACAAGAGTAATGAAGTCAAGGTCACATGCTGCAATGGTGATTCCTCCCTCATGTCAGTTCTAAATATTGTTGCAGGTATTGCCCTTTAATTTTTTTCCCATTGCAGTGCTGGGGACCAAATGCATGGCCTCATGCTTGCTAGGCAAACACTCTACCAACTGAGCTACATCGTCAGCCCCAGACACAGTGACATTGTTCTTGATGCTTAGCTCCAAGTCTCTTTCTTTAGCTGTCCTCAAAAATTCTGTGAGTATTGTTATTATTTTTCACTCAAGGCTTAACCTACCCTTGGTGGCTGTCATGGGTTCTGTTACATGTACCTGACAAAGAATATCATACCCAGAAGTGAGGAGCAGATGGGACTTTGGGCAAAGAGGGGACAAACACTGCAGGGAGGAAAGCTGGTGGATTCTTATTACGCAGCGGCAAATATTTGCTTCAACTACCATATACAATACTTTAAGATGTGGATTGTGAGCTGAAGGAGGCTGGAGCATTAGGGAAACATAACCTGAATATTCACAATGTTGATTTGAATGGATGACTTTTTGCCTTTTCAACAAATTATTGATAGAGAGGATGTGCCCAGATCAGAAGCAAACTGTTGACGAGAGAGACTGAGACATTTTCCTTTGCCAGGGCAGGCTCTCTGCTGTAGGTAGAGGTCCAACTTGACTGAAAATTCCACAATTTGGGCTGAAAGAATAAACTACCATTTTCTTCAAACCAAAGCAAGTATACACAGCTGTTTGAGGGAAATGAATAGCAGACCTTTGTAATACCATGATTATGAAGGTAATTGAAAGAGCCCATGTACCAGATGCATGGGTAGTGTGTGTTGTTCAAAACAGCCACAAGATCATCAAGGGAAACTTCCAGTATTCTCCAGTGTCCTGTGTTTAATTCTCATTATTCATGGTAGTTTTTTTTTTCATAAAGTTACTGCAAACATGGAATTAGCCAGTACTGACCATTGCTCCTAAGGGAAATATGCACATGTGTGTGCACACACACATTTTATATAGATTACAACTCTCGGTCCTACAGACAGCTCATCCTGGTAGATCCCCATCCCCTACCCCCGTGGTCCTGGAGATTGAATATGGGGTCTCATGCATGCCAGGATATAGACTAATGATCTATATTCCTAGCCTGAGCCCCTTTTAAAAAAATGTTGAAGGATTAGAAGTGTTAAGCGGCTGGCCTGAGGTCACCTCACTAATAGGGGCCAGAATAGGATTCAAATTCCATCCAAATGGCCCCAGAGCCAGAGCTTCTTACACTATACTACTTTGGGCTCTCCATCTTCTGGTCACCTCTGCATGAAAGCAGAAAGCAGAGTGTTGCTTCAGTGGTACGTGAGCACAGTAGGGGCAACTCAAGATTTTTTCTACCAACAGCAAAAGCACCATGAGGATGGGTTTTGGAGTTACAAATAAGATTTAGCTAGCAGACAAATTCACAAATGTGGAATTTTCTAGTCATGAGGGTGGACTATATAAAAAGCTAAAAGAATTAAAAATGGCTGCCCTTGGGGGAAACTGGATATGGAATGAGAGGACATTGAGTATGGAACTGTTACTTATAATCAAACACAAGTTTTAATTTGTCAAAATATTTAAAGTAAGTAATTTTTCAAAAATATCTCACACCACTGCTTCTCTCATACTTTTCCTTCTCCTTCCAGTGGAATGGTAAGAAATGTGATCTGCTGTTGTTGGGTATCCTTTCCCCAACCAACTCATGAGGATCCCAAGATTATTCTAGGAAAGTCACAGCATTCTGGAAGGGGGTCTGTTGTCTCCACTTCCCACTGGTCTCTGAAAGTCTGTCTTCTTTAAACACGTACTTGAAAGAAGTGTCTTTCTTCTGAGCTCAGTTCAGAGTTGAGGCTAGCCCTATGGCTCCCAAGGCACACAATGAGCACCTCTTTGGCATCTTCATTCTGGGAAGGGGATAGATAGTTCCTGAGGTGGGAATGGAGGCAGATAGCCCCAACTGCTTACTTGGAATTACATATGGCCCAGTTGCTTCCAATCCTTGATGGCCAGGAGGGTGTGAGGTATAGCCTGCAGTGTCCTGGGTCACCTAAGCAGCCATTTATAAGGTAAGCCTTTGGTGAGTTCTTTCTATGTGCCAGGCACAGTGCCTCATTCTTTGCATGCATTATCTCATAACTTCAGGTAGCATTTTACAGATGAGGAAACTGAAGCTTAGGGAGTTTAAACAATTTGCATGGGGTTGCCAGGCTACTAAATGGCAAATTAAGGGTTTGAATTCTCCCATTTAACTTCTAAACCAATGTTCTCAAGGGCTCACAAGATTGTCTGCACACACATGCCATT